ATGTTGATGCTGGAAAATTTGGGTCCTGCGGGAGTAGCGTACCTAACGGAGGTTATAACTATGTCAATGGTCCCTCTCATCATCCTAGACGTCTGGAAGGTGGGGAGAGTGGTCCCACTGCTCAAGCCGGGGAAACCAGCCAACAAAGGAGAATCTTATCGCCCGATAACACTCCTTTCCCCGGTAGCGAAGCCACTAGAGGCCTTGCTGCTCCCGTATTTCACGAACCACCTGACCCCAGCGAAGCATCAGCATGGTTTCCGTAAAGTGCACAGTACAACAACAGCACTTAACGCCATAAACACTCAGATAAAACCTGGCCGTAACCGCAACCGTCTCTGTGAGAGAACTATTCTAGTAGCGTTGGACCTGTCAAAGGCGTTTGACACCGTCAGCCACTCCACGCTACTAGAAGATATAGAAGCTTCCTCTCTCCCACAGAGGCTCAAACGGTGGTCGGCGAATTATCTGAGTGGCCGACACTCGTCGGTAATGTTTAGAGACAAATCGAGCAAACTCAGAAAAATAAAACAGGGGGTTCCACAGGGTGGTGCCCTTCCCCACTACTGTTTAACTTTTACATTTCAAAGCTCCCTCAACCACCAGAGGGAGTATCGATTGTCTCTTACGCCGGCGATTGCTCGACCATGGCGACTGGGAATGGAATCGATGACCTGTGTTCGAAAGTAAACGGGTATCTCTCCGATCTTTCTCGCTTCTTCACTGCAAAGTGTCTAGCCCTCTCTCCTACGAAATCCTCTGGGACCTTGTTCACAACCTGGACGAAGGAGGTCAGGCTACCGCTGGGAATTCACGTCGATGATACACCAATTCCGTCGGCGAATAACCCCGAAATACTCGGAGTAACCTTCGACAGCCTGCTCTCCTTCTCTACGCACGCAACCGCTATTGTCAACAAAGTACAGAGCCGCAACAAGGTCCTCAAGTCGCTAGCCGGCAGTACTTGGGGCAAAGACAAAGAAACGTTGCTGGCAACATACAAGGTAATAGGCCGGCCGGTTTAAAATTACGCAGCACCAGTGTGGTCGCCGGGAACTAGTAGGACGCAGTGGATGAAGCTACAGACGACACAAAACACTGCACTTAGGACAGCGACTGGATGCCTTCTGATGTCGCCAGAATACCACCTACACGACGAGGCGAAAATGCTCCCTGTTAAGGAGCATAACAAAATGCTCTGCAAGCAGTTTCTGGTTGGGAGCCACAGACGTGGTCACCCAAATAGACAACTGCTTGCAGAAGAGCCCTCGCCCAGGCACGTCAGGAGGCATCTCTACGAACGGACGGACGAAGCACAGAGGTTCATTAAGCAGCCTCTGGACCCTTCAGCATATCGACAGGCCCTGAACGGCATTTACAGGAAGTCAGTCTCGAGTTATGTAGACTCCAGACCTGTGAATGCCGTTCTAAGCACACAACCACCGGACATCGACGAGAGGAGCTTCATCTGCCTCGGGAGACCAGAACTACAATAGCCAAACTTCGCTCTGGCTACTGCAGCAGGTTAAACTCATACCTGAACAGATTAGACGCAGATGTGCCAAATGAGTGTCCGGCATGCGGAGAGACACCCCACGACTCGAAACATCTCTTCGTATGCCCGGAAAACCCGACAACACTAACGCCTTTGTCCCTGTGAACCGACCCCATTGATGCTGCACGCTCCCTGGGTCTTCCGTTAGTGGAGCTTGACGACAACGACTGAGATATTAACCGATCTGGGCGGGGTTTTTGTAGCCGCTATAACAACAACAACAACAACGTCATCGGTAACAAGAACCGCTGAGTCTGTTCTGCCTTTTCGAAGTTGGATAAGGAAGCAAAGCGAATAGGTCTGGTGGTAAACTCGGACAAGACGAAGTATCTCCTGTCATCACACAAACAGTCAGCGCATTTGCGCCTTGGCACCCGCGTCACTGTTAACAGTTACAATTTCGAGAAAGTAGAGAATTCCGTTTACTTGGGAACCAGCATTAACACCGAACCCGCTGGTGGTAGCAGAGGAAAGACAAGTGGAGAAGGACTTGGCTTCATTTGACATTTCCAATTGGCGTCAGTTGGCCCAGAAGAGAAACGACTGGCGTGCTTTGTTGAGCCAAAATCGCGTAGGCGGTTACAGCGCCAAATAAGAAGAATAATTTAGATTGGCCTTCTTAAGTGAAGCCATTCTACGAGGCCTACACAAGGGCCCAAAAAAGTGTTTCCTTGCATGCCTTCTAGAAGCGCATTTTCTATTTGCAATTTACGGGAATGTGTAATTTTATATTATTTAAGATTATAAATATAAATGACTTTAAATATGCATTTTAGATTGCAATAAAACATATTTGACATGAACCTTAAATAAATACCTTAAAGTATGATTTTTATTATTATTAAGGGAAAGTAGCGAGATTTTAAAACAATTTTAGGGTGTTTTTTTATGAAACAACAAAAATATGTGACAGTAATGTCCAAGAAGAGTTAAAAAAAGGGGTTCCACAGGGTGGTGTCCTCTACCCCTTACTGTTTAACTTATAAATTTCGAAGCTTCCTTAGCCACCTGAGGGAGTTTCCCTGATCTCATTCCCTGGGAATGGAATTGATGACCTCTGTTCAAAAGCAAACTGCTATCTCTCCGAACTTTCTCGCTTTAGCAAGGAGCGTAACACTCTCCAAAACGACGATAGCACACCAATTTTGACGGTGAATAAGCCTAAAATTTTAGGGTTTTTTGAAAGAACAAAAACATGTGGCATCACTGAGCCCAAGAAGAATTAAAGAAGGTGTTCCAGAGGGTGGTGTCCTCTCCCCTTACTGTTTAACTTCTACATTTCGAAGCTCCCATAGCCACCGGGGGGGAATTCCCCATACGCTGAATACAGCTCGATGTTAGTGTCTGGGGATGGAATTGATGACCTCTGTTCAAAAGCAAATGGCTATCTTTCCAAACTCTCTCGCTTCTTCAATGCAAGGAGCCTAACACTCCTCCAGACTTCAACAAGACATTCACGTCGATAACACACCAATTATGACGGTGAATAATCCAAAAATGTTAGGGCTTACCTTTGATAGCATGATCTCCTGGCCTGCGCACACAACCGCAGTTGTTAACAAAGTACAGATACGTATCAAGGTTCTCAAGTCGTTCGCCGGCAGCACTTGGGGCAAAGACAGAGAAACGTTGCTGGCAACATACAAGGAAATTCGCCAGCCGGTTCTGAACTTTGCTGCGACAAACCGTAATAGGCGGGGCTTAGTAGAGCCGCTACAACCACAACATAACTGAGCCCAGGTTGTTTGATGTTACGTGTAGCAATAACAACCAACGGAAAAAATAACATATCTGTGGACTTTTGACAAAACAACTTCTCTCGAGTGAGGTCATTTTCTCTTCAAAGCTGTAATTCATTGAGTTGACGAATGGTATTTTTTTGTTTAGTCATTAATAGGAGTAGTTCAAGATGCTATCTTAATGAAAGGTAAATAAAACTATCAAATAAATTATCAAATACTCTAAATTCCAACCTACAGAAAGCACAGAGAATGTTTTGTCAAAAGTCCACAGATATGTTTGTACATAGAAAATGAAGTCTTAGTCCGCACCTGTTTCCAATTCATTGTCTGCATTAGAATCTTCCTGCTTACAGCATATAGCAGAATCGTCCAAAGTAGAAGCTTCTCTTCCTTCATCTGTAAAAGTAGTTTAATAGAAATCGATAAATGCTTGTACTAAAAACTTTCTTTTCGCCATTTTTTGATAAAGTTAGTATTGTGCGGCCAATTAAATAAATATAAAAATTTTTATTAATACTTATTTGCAACTTACTTTCTGTAAGAGGTTCTTCAGCAAAAGTAGGTTCCGGCTTTTCGTCTTTATTTTTTTCATTGCTACACCCATCCTCCAAAGCTTTGGAAATTTCAGAGTTTCCTAGTGATAAAAGTTTAATTATTATATTTATTCAGAATTGAAAATATTCTTACCCTCGAATGATATCATTGGGATTGCCGTTGCTTCTGTGCTTTCAAATCCATTGTCAAGCATAGACTTTTCTATACCTGAATCATTGTAATCATCTTCTGTTATAAGTATTATAAGCTATATATAGTAAATTAATCGCGTTTCTACTTACCAGTCACATCGTTTCTGCTAAATTTAACTTCCTCGATTTGTTCATATTGCTGATCTGCACAAAAATGTTGTTTTTCTGTTGCTCCCATTAAATCCTCCTTTTCTTGACTGCTTTCGAATCCTAACTCATACTCGTCACGGAACTCTTCGGAGCTGCTGTCCATCAGTGTTAGCTGTGGCATTGGTAAGTGCACGCTAACATGATGACACTGATCGTCCTCTATCAAATCTATACTCTTCGAATGATCATCTTTCGTTGACAAATCGCAAGCGGCATTATCATGGTCATCGATGATTTGCCGCTTACTGTCGTTTGCAGTTTGGTCAACTTCGCTTCTAGGTAAATGTGTATCTGTTTCCGAAAGAGCAGCTGAGCCATCAAAGGAAAACACCATTTTATTTGGTAGAAGAGATTCAGTGTCCATGAAGAGGAAATCAATAGAACACTTATCACTTGAGTCTCCATGTAGTTCATCAACGCGATGCACACACAGCGAAGGATGGTCCCCGGTTTTATTTTCACAACTTTCGCAATCTGTTGATTTAGAAGGTTCATTATCTGCGATTTTGTCTGACTTAGCCCCTTTATCCGAATCTGTTTTGTTATCCTCAGTTAAATTTGCCTCAGGCTGGATAAAGGAGGAGGGATTCCTCACGACTTCACAGTGATTGTGCTCAGCGTTGACAACGTTAACATCGGTGATGTTCGGATATTGTTCTGATAGAGTTTTATTTACTTCAGACTTTAAATTATTCTCTTTTACAGCATCGCACTGATTTTCAATTTGGGTTTCGATATTGCAATCACTTCTGCAATGTGTGTTGTCACTAAGAATTTCACTGAGTTCAAAATCACATATTGGCAATGCATTGTCAGTGTTCTGCACGATAGTGGGAGCTATATCTTAAACATGTTTAGACAGTGTTAGAAATGCTTCTTTTTTTTTTAATACATAAGAATTTTTGTAACTCACCACAGACTGCTGAAGTAGTGATTTTTATTGTTGTTGACGTAAGCTCCTGGTTGTTGGTTAATTCCATGAATGCATTAATATTGTCCTCAATGTCAATAAGCGGCATGTCCAAACCTGGGCCAAATGAATCATAATCATTGTTATCGAAGACTTGTTCTGTTTCTGCCTCCAAATTTCCGGAAGAAGCGTCATTTTTGGAAGACTCATTTAAATTAGATGATTTCAAAGATAAATCCAGAGGTAAAATATCTTGATTTGCCACATCTATAGAAGTATTACTATAGTCATCAGCTGTTGTGGACTTTTTCGACAAATCCAACAAAACGTCCGATATGTGCGCTGGAGGCGGTAAAACCGAATTGCTTTGAAGGTGGGAATCTTGCACCAAAATAGGTAGATTGGTTGGTGCATCAAGAACTCGCGCGATAACGTTTGTAGTATCACCAACGTTGTCTATATAATTAACCTAAGATTGAAAATGTTAACGTAAAGCGTTTTATATTGCCTTTTAGGAAACCACTTTAAATTAGTTTGTAGTAAAAGTACCTGTTTGGACATGTCCATTTATCTACACAGAAGATAATTTAGCTAGGCCTTCTGAAGTGAAGCCATTCTAAAATGCTTACTAAAGAAGGGCTAAAAAGTGCATCCCTGCTTATCTTATAAAATAGCATTTGAAGTCGCAATAAAACATATTTCATATGAACCTTAAAAAAAATACCTTAGTTTGTGCATTTAAAAACAGCTTTAGAAGAATTCCCCCAAAAGGCCGTTCTACTGAGTAACTAAAAACACTAAAGTATAAGGTATTTAGAAGTTGCTAATAGAGTCCGACCGAAGGTAGTATTTATTTTTTCTCTCCCAGCGATAAGTGTCCGAGACCAACAGCAACGGAAACTATATGCAAATAACCCTTTCCCACCGAGCGAGATCACACATCTAGAAAAAATAAAATTACCTGTTCTCTGTTGTGGGTTATTTTTTCTCTTAAATAGAAAGAGTTATTTTGGGGCACTTTCAAAGTGGAGAGGGTTATTTTCGATCTCTGTTTCCAACAGATCGGCTGCAGTCTTGGATACGTGGGGTAGTTTGATAAAAAGTGGAATAAAATCCAAAGTAATAGGGGTGTTTTCTTCATTTTCACCACATTTCCTCGAAATTAATCATTCTTCAAAGTGAGATTAAAAAGAAACTTCTCTGATGCCAACAAGACCAGATACATATAAACTTGCATCTTGACGAAAAAAATTTGTACCTATTCAAGTGAAGCAGGGTGTATGTATTTATATAATAGTCTTATAGTCTTATTACTTTATACATATATATATATATACATTTAAAAATATATATGTACAGTGCCGAACAGAAGTATTGGCACAGTGAATTTTTCGTTCAAAGTTGCTAGAAAATCGCTTTGATTTTTGGCAATTTTTTTAGTGGTGTTGCTCATTTTCTCCATACAAAAAATAATTGCCGAATATACTTTGTATGGAAGAACTTGCGTGAAAAAAAATTACCAAAAATCAACGCCATTTTCTAGCGACTTCAAACTTGCACTTTGTTATACTAAATTTGAATGGGCTATAAAACTGCATACTTAGAATTTTTCTAAAAAAATCGGAATAGAAAGTTGCAAATTAGTGTGCAAATTTAATGAATTTTCCTAAGTTTTGCACAAAGTTTAGAGATTTTATTATTATGTTTTCTGGCGTAGAATCAACAATATTTTTTATAAAAAATTATCGAAAATAAATTAGAATAAAAAACTTTGCATGTATTGCGAAAAATTCACTGTGCCAATACTTCTGTTCGGCACTGTATATAAATGGGACGTTTCACATCAACCGGCCCACAGCTCTGTCCAAAATTCTAAGCAACTAAAGTAAACATACATGGGGTGTTCACAACGGTGTCGTAAGTGTAGTATTGTTGTATGTCGTAAACTTTAAAAGGCTAAAAATATATATAGGGGGCTTGCAAGGGTCTACAAGTCATATTATGAATTTTCACAGTGCTACAAAAAAGTTGGTTGAGGTTTAAAGTCCACTAAACATTTATTTAAGCTTTTAAAGCTTTTAAGTCAAAATACTCGTAAGCTAATACCGTTTCGATTGCAAAGTGGAATAATTTAAAACCCAAAGTGGCGGCATTACTGCGCTAGGCAAATATATTTATTAATTTCCGAGTCCGACCGATTAATCGGCATCGGCTAGTATCGAAACAAAATAGAGCATCGCCATCGGCATCGGCCTTTTTTCGCCGATTCCTTGCCGATTATTTGGAATTTCTTTTCACAAAAATTAATTGTTTTTTTTGGTTGAAGGTGTTTCGCGTTTTTTCCATACACAAGTATGTTCGACAATCTTCTTTTATATAGAGGACACTGCCGGCAAAAAAAATTGCCAAAAATTAACGGGATTTTATAGCAGCTTGAAACTTTCACTTCATTATACTAGAATTAAATGGTCTATAAAACTGCATACCAAAATTCTGATTAGAGATTGAAATTTTGGTGAAAATAAGCAGAACTTTTTTAATTTTTGTACAATCTTTGAAATCGGAATAGACGTTTATAAAAAAAACTAGCAGCCCGGCGAACTTCGTCCCGCCCAAATTATTTTTTTTTATTGAAACATTTGATCTAACGTTTTCGCCAGCAATTCACGTTCACGTTTGGTTTTGTGGTCGACGGAAGGCATATCTCCTCTATTGCAGTCTTAAATAACCTGACGAAAGCGTTATACCGGGAAGAAGTCCTTGCGGCTCGATGGTGAATCGTCCTGGAATCTGTATATTATAGTTGGTGGCAATTTCCAAACTGGTGAGTATCATTGGTCCACATTCTGTTTAAGTCACCGTAAAGCAAGCACCGCAATGGTTCGGATGGTTGATTTAACGGGGGTAATTTGACTTTGATCCTTGGTGCCTCCGAATTGACGATTTTTGGCAATAACTCGGCTCCAGCGCCACTTAAAAAAACTATCACGCATTCGTTATACGGAGAAAATGCGCAACATCATCAGCGAAAAAGTTCTCAAACATCAACGGTAACTTATAGCCATTTCAAACTTGCACTTTATGATACTGAAATTGAGTGAACTACAAAACTGCATACTCAAAATTAGGTAGCATTTAATGCAAAATGAACTATATTTCTATAAAAAATTAACAAAAAAATGTATTATGAAAAAACAAAAAACAAAAACAGTACAGCCGTTCGCGAGATCACCTCTTATAAAAAGAAGGAGCTTCTCTTTATATAATTAGTGTAGGTAACACAGGGCAACACCGATTTTGATGCGGCAAATGTTAAAGCTGTTTTTGGTAAGATTTTTTTGTGCTGATTACGAATCCGTAAGTTTCCATCAGCTCCAGATTTTGAGAAAAACGTGGTGAAAGTGTCAAAAAAATCGCGTTTTTTGCAATATTTGAGAAGCTCTAGCAAGGAAACAATTACTTTTTATCGTCCACCCAATAAAAAAAATATACTGGAAAATTATGCAATTGAAAAAAAAGTGTGTAAAAATCACTGTTAGCTGTTCATCAAACGACTATAGGTCAAGGTGCAGGAATGGTATTTTGAGGGATTGAAGTCAGAAGTCCAAGCTTTAAGCCTAAGTGGAAGGTTCTATCACCCTTTGTTTCTTTGCTAGAGCTTATCAAATATTGCAAAAAAAAGCGATTTTTTGACATTTTGACCTCGTTTTTCTTAAAATCTTGAGCTGATGGAAACTTTATGCTTACCGATTCGTAATCAGCACAAAAAAATTGTCAACATTTGCTGCATAAAATTTTTCTCCAATACCCCTAATGACTCAATTCTATTCTACGCATATCTATAATACGGTTATCCAATTTCAAGAAAATCGGACCATAAATAAGACTTTTTCGAATAGATCGGTCGGTCCCTGGTCCACTTAACGGAAAAATGGATCCTGTATGCTAATATAGCCAAAAGGCTACCTACGTACCAAATTTCAAGCAAATCGGACATAACTAAGATTTTTTCGAACAGATTGGTCCCTGGCCCACATATCAGAAAAAGTATCCTAAATGCTAATCCAGGCAATAAGCTACCTACGTGCCAAAGTTCAAGCAAATCGGACCATAAATAACTTTTTCGAATAGATCGGTCCCTGGCCCCTTAACGGAAAAAACTGATCCTATATGCTAATCTAGGCAAAAGGCTACCTACTAGGGATGTTAATTTTTTCGATTTTTGCGATCCCGGGATTTTCGGGACATCGTTCATACAATCCCAGGTTTAGATATTCATTATTTTCTAACAACTTAACATAAAAAATTGCATCAATATAGTTTGAGAAGCTGTCCTACAATAGTGATGATGATACGAGTACATAAGAGTAAATACTCGAATACCTCTACCAAGTACCGAGTATTTTTTGTACTTCGATACATGTGGCCAAGTACTTGGTGGGTATCGAGTGCATTGTGCAAGAATTTACTCGGTCGAAAAATTTATGCAACTCTAGTCAAATTAGTAAAGTTGCCTCAAGTTGCATATATGATGTTTGACACGTAAAATTGTGTTCGATTTCTAGCATGTATGTAACCCCGCCGCATCCCATGTGCTGAAGCTTTATGGTATTTTATACAACAATAGCCTGCGTTACGCAGGAAAAATACGTATATACACTGAGGAAAAAAACGCGTTGTAAAAATTAAAATTTTTTATTTGATTACCGTTTAAAAATGTTCGTATTTAAATCAAGTGAAAAGTGTTCAAAATTGAATATTGCCATTATATACATACACTACGTATAATGGAAATATTCAATTCAAATACACCCGTATTAAAATGAAGCATTTTTCACAGCACGGATGGCCTTTTGCACGTCTCAGATGCTTTGTCATATGTAATTAAGAAAGTACGCTGCTGCAGTAAGGCGGCCAATTTTCCGTAAAGGACTAGTACTTCACTGGTTAAAATTTGACTGGTCGGAATTGGACATTTGCTTGCATCGAAAATGTCAGCCTTCGAGCAGTCCCCAAGGAACCGGCCTAGAGATAGACGAAAAGTGCAGTTTGGCAATGACAGGGTGGTGTTGTCTTGCAATTCAATAAAAAAAAAATTTAAAGAACACCACCGTGTAAATGTCCCAATCGCTTAGTCTGGCCTTGATGCAAAGTGACCATTTGAACACACATTTACATGCTTGCCACTATTTGTTAGCTTTCAGGAGGGTCCGGGTTCAAATGCCGTCAGAAGCAACATGGTTATAAAATGATTAAATTTTTTTTTTTGTGGTTCGGAATTATGAAAAAGCATCTGCGAAGTGCAGAACGCAATCTTACTCCAACGAAAAAAATCTCCAAAACGGGACTAGTCCCGGACACGCCAATGCTAAAAATGGCAGTTGAAACCATTGGCAGGGGAATTGTGAGGGACTATCTGAGGGCTAGCCGAGGGTGAGTCTGAATTGTTGCAGGGTATATGTATACAAA